TTCACGTAAATTCCTAAAAAAGTCAAGGAAACTTTACTTAAATTGAACGGGAGTCAGAGAGAGAGATGCTAGTTAACCTCCGAAATCTACCATGATAACGGTGTGGGTATTAAACAGCCAATACTGTAAAGAACATTCGTGTAGCAGAATTTAGATTTCTGTTTCCTTTCTACTATCGATGCCACGAATAACTCCAAAACGATAAAAGATAGAGACTTGTAATTTTCAACAATCGAAAGAAGACAGTTTAGCCTATATTTTCGTAAGCGAAACCCTTTTGCGAAGCCGTTAGGAAGACCGGTTATCTAGGATATCTTGGAAAACCACTTCGGATCTCCGGAAAATAAGATAAATCCAGTCAAGATCCATCCAAGTTATGCCAGAATAATAAAATATGATCAATAGTAACAAAAATAAAATATGATCAATAGTAATCTTATTGTTATTTAAAACTCTTGTTATAACATGAAATAAATCTGTGCAAGAAAGAGAGAACATACCCATACCGGAAACCGGTCTAGGGTGAAGATAAAAAAAATGAGAAAACAAAAAAAAGAGGAGCTTATAAAGTCTTTGAATTTTGGTTGCGCTCAAGAGAACGCAAAAATTTTTGTCGGATTTTTTTCATGTTCACTGGTCGTAAAACCATCGATGATAAGGTGTATCATCCGCGTACCACCTCCACACCACACATGGGTCTGGTTTTGGAGGTACCCTTTCTTCCAGCCTTCTCGGTAATTCGTGAATATTTGCATTTAATCCACCCTAATCCCATGTCTCTTACACCGATCCTTAACCCATTGGAGTTTATTTAACTACTTTTTTTATCGCAAGTTCGTCGATGAATCTTTACATCTCGTTGATTTTTACACACTTGACCACAATTGGGACAGATATTTGTGACCACTCCGGTCGACATTGGTGGAGTTTGACTAGTTACGGTGCTGGTTGTGTTAACTTGACTACTTCGAGCAAGCTCTTCTGCTCGCCGCCGATTTGCTAGTTCCTTATATTCATGTACAAGTTTTTGGATATTCGAATGTACGGGTTTAATTTGCACGTATTTGTTGATAATCTGACGCCACTTGTCCTTATCCACCGTTTCCCTCCGCCAATTCTTGATTCCGAATTAGGCAATATCATCTGCGATTTTATCTTCCCATCGTTTCTTTACGCCTGCATTTTGAGGTCTTCGAGCATCAGGAAAATACGAAAACATAACTTTCTTCAGATAGAGCCTAAACAATGCCTCTTTTTTTTCCCATTGTAATACAAACGTTGATATTGGCCTAAAGCAGATAAATCTTTCTTATTTTATGAAAGCTGCGTTACGGCACAGCTGAATTTTTTAAATAGGAGTTTTCTCTGGTGTTCTATAAAAAGTCACGGTTTTGCAGTGGGAAAAAGAAAGCATAAGGTTTTTTTTTGAAAGCAGATGTTATCTACTACCGACTGGTAGTAGGACCATCAAATGAAAACAATCCTTGCAATGCGAACTGTTTTTGACTTTGAACTGTTCTCAAACGATTATCGCTCAAAGATTCAAATCTTTATGTCCTCTCCATGGACTTTGTGGTCCAGATAATTCGAATATCAAGCTTATTTTCCGGCAGTTTTTAACGAGGCTAATACAATACACATAACCGACATAAACATGAAACTAAATATCCTCAAACGTGAAAAATCTGTTTTTTATGCAGAAAAGACAAAGATCGGTTTTGACTAGAACGGGTAAACAGAAGAGCCGGAATTGAGAAACTTGATAAGGAGACAGACTGAACATCAAACTGAGGAAATTGTAACTAGAATAGTGCCGTAACCAAATTAATAACAAGAGCAAGATGTTGACGTTGAGTAGGTTGTTGTGAATTCTACAAAAAAGTCTAATTTGCGTGTAAACTTCGGACAATATTTGGAGAGAGGAGCAAGCGACAAGCTTATAGTCTGAGTTTCTCTAGGTAAACAAACCGGTTAATAATACATGGTTGCTCACCTTTGACGAAAGATGGACGGTTTTCTAATCATGTTGTTTACATATAGTCGATAAATATCATTAAATTCCTCAAGAGGAATTCCAGTTAGTGAACAAAATCTTCGAGGTGTAGATGTGAGTTCAGCATATAAGTCACGAATAACAGCTTGTTCAAATCGATCCATAGGCATCATCAGTAGATAATTGGACAAACGTGGTAAAATAGGCAGAAGACTCAATATTTGTTCACATTGTACCAAAATTATAGCTATTTTTCTTCGGTCATTCTCCAATTCATGTTGATTGGCTAATCTGTATAAAGTATTTACAACTTGTACAACATCAGTGCACATATTAGTCAAAATTCGTAAAGTTGTTTGTCGGTGTGCATTCATTTCTAAGGCAAAAGAAGGAAGAAAATGGGGTTTAGTATGTCATTCTAATATGTCATTTAGAACGTATCGTTTGATTGACGACTGTGAACGAGAAATAGTGAAATTATTGGCCGCCGAAGTGGGGAAAAACTTCGTTTAATAGTTCAGACGATAATCGAAGGTGACTATGGGCAAATCAGTGAACATTATGAAAAAATCAAAGAGCGTACTGCTGTTGGACGAATAAACGAGATATTATCGACTGCTGCTAGAAATGCTGTTTAGAAGATTTATTTTGAGTGATTTATCTAATTATGAAAGTCTTTTTATATTTCTTGCAATTTTGAACCTTTACCGACAGATACGATGGATTATGTGTCATATTCAGATGGAACTAGTTTTTCTCAACAACACGTCAATGATTATCAAACACCACCTTTTCGCGGTACAGGTCGTTTCGTCGTATCAAAAACTCATAGTAGGTTATTCAATTATTACATTATTGTTTTTTGGAGCAAAAATAGTAGATAGAACCTACCATGAACTTTTCTGCATGAGCTTCACGCACACAGACATAAACTCTATTACTAATTCACATTATTTTGTATATTTAGGGATGACATCAAATATGTCTAGTATTTCCGTGAGTTCACCTTCGTATTTGTCACCACCATCACCCAGCAGTCAACATCATCATCAGCAAGTACGTAGTTTTTTTAACTTGACAGCTGTTGTGGACTGGTGTGAAACGTTTGCATAGCTGAAAATCTGCTGCTATGATTTTTAATAAAAATTTTGAAGTTAATAAAATTATTTTTTACTCAAACTGAATCCCTGTAGGCTTAATCTATGACTTGTAAGCAAGAGGCAGAACTATTACGTTATTCGTATTTCTGTGTTGGGAAAGGTTTTTCTGAGATCTGTTGTTTATTTTAGGAACATCAATCCAGAAGATTATCAATCGATTTTTCGTCTCCTCCTCTTTCTCCATTAAATGATGAATTTTCTGAACGTCCGGTAACAAAAAAGGTTTCCAAAACTGCAATACCCACAAATGATCCAGTTGTATCAGGTACGAACATAAGCGATACTGAAGGACAGATAAATTCAACACTTTTGGAATGTACCGATACCGATATTGTTTGTCTTGAAGAATCATCAACACAACCACCAGTAGATCGAAAACCATTTGGAACAGTTTCTTCGTCAGATCCTCCTCGTCTTTATACAGAAAATCAATTACAACAGCTGTTAAGTAGGTTAATTAAATAAAATAATAGTTAATTAATTCAAATGATGTGATACAGACACCTCTACGTACCGAAAACAGAAGCAACACGCTACCATTCACTGCAACACCCCCATTAGCTTCAGTTCGAAACAATGATCGGTCGCGAAGCCCGCATCCTTTT